GGCTCAGCGGCACGTTTGGATTGGGCTGTGGAAAGGAGCGCCCCCACAGGATACCTCGTCCTCTTCTCATTCAAGGAAAATACAAATGTACAGATCTCCCTCTCTCTCTCTCTCTCTCTCCAGCAGGACAGAGGAGAAGGGCGGTCACCCCCTCCCCGCGCGCGGTTGCAGGTCTCGGCTCGGTTCCGGGCTCGAGGGTTGCCCCTCTCGCCGGCGCGCTGTCGCGCCCCCGACCGTTTTGGTGGGGCGTTGAGAGAAAAAGCAGTGCACAACAGAGGCAACATTCGATGGCTTCCTTACATGTGCAAAAACAAGGGAGTACGTTAGACGGGAAACGCCAGTATTTGCCATCGAGTGTTTGAGGTTCTTGCTGTGGCTTTGGCAATCCGTCACTTGTATCAGTGCCATAACACAAACAGGCCCAAAACCACCCAGTCATCCAACCAGAAACGGAGTACACGAAGAAGACCACAAAAGTTTTGTTGTGACGAATGCAGACAAGAAGGGTCAGATCCCCTAATGTAGCGAAGGGTTTGGTCCACTTCGAACCGTCTCGGCCGAAGCACAAACAAGAAGACCAAAACCTACTCAAAGTCAAGGAACCTGAACAGAAGGCTACCGCAGTAAGAGGTGTGCCCCCTATAGGGAATGACAAAAGATGTGCTGGCCGAATTCGTCAGTTCGATATTGAACGTGTGGAAAGGAAAAGCCTCAGAGCGGAGGCACGGCGGGTTGGTTTGTACTTTGGCTCCAGCGGCCCATCTTAATCTACGCCCAGCAGGGTTGTTGGGGTGAACCCCCATGAGAGGAAATGAAAAGAATGATCGAAAAGTTGTTTAACAACTGTTGTGCAAACATGCAAGCCAGCACTCAAGGTTTTTAACTGCCCGGCGACTTTTTGCAGATGCCGGTTGGGGATTTCCCCCTGGAAAAAGGCTGCCCTTCACACTCAGTAGTTAGCCCTCGTAGTACACCGTTGTCCGCCGTGGTGAGGTGTCCTGTGTACCCCGGCTTTCCTGAGAGGCATTTCGTTGTCCGCCGTGGTGAGGTGTCCTGGGTACCCCGGCTTTCTTGAGAAGCATTTCTCACACTCTTTTCTGGCTCTAGGAGAAAACCCCCTTTTTCCCATGGTGTAGGGCTGGAGGCCGCTTCCCCGCTGAGGTTTTGGAGTTTTCCTCCAGGGTGCAGTGCGAGGATTCCCCCCTCGATGACGTCGCAAAAGTATCACGATGCACACCGTTGGCAAAGTTTACGACCCGAGGAAGATGCGGAGAATCGTGCCCTGGCAGGTCGCACAAGGGATGTCAAAGGGCACAAGGCTCAGCTCCCCGTTGCACTCGCCGTTCTTGAGAGTGGTCACCGAACTCGTCGAGGGCGGCCCCTGCGATGAAGGCGCGTAGTACAGCGATCTTGCCGTATAGCTCTATGGCTGCGCGCGAAGCACTACGAGGTTGGGCAACTTGAGCCAAAATGGCTACTCTCTCTCTCTCTCTCTCTCTCTCTCTCTCTGTCCCCTTCACCTCCGTTCTGGCTATAGTTATCTGTGCCACCCGATTCGAAGCCTAAGGCACCTTCATCTGAGTGTATGGGATCCCTCTCACCTGCGAACAGGGTGAGACATTCGTGATTTTGCACAGGACGTCATATGCAGCTGACTGTTCTGTGCGCGAGCGGCTACCTCCGCCGGCTAGTCTGTCTCGCCTACTCGTACTTCCATTCTGCCTTTGCACAGGAGGGCATGTGCATCTGCCATGAGGTCTGTCGCGGTAGAGTGTCTTGCAGTAAAGTGCTAGTGCTTTGTTGAGTAGCAATCCCGGTTGTATTTTTGCGCCCCAGACCAGGGCAATGTGTGAACGGTCCTCGTTCATGGGCTAAGGAGGTCACTCTCCATGTTTTTGCAGAGGGACGGAGAGAGCGCAGGGGAGCTCCGTCCCACGAAGCTCTCCCCTGCACCCTCGGCAAACGTATCTGCTTAGGTCTGCGCCTGGGCTCCGGCGTGGGCAGCTGGCGGGACCCTCATCCTCATTTTCACTTTCATCTCATTTCGTGCTGTGCGATTCTGTCGTCTCACACAGCGCGGGCAGGACCCGTACCCTGACGGATCATCTCATCCTGTTTTCGTATGCCATTCCTTTGGTCTGGCATGCTTGGCACAAAACTTTCATCTCATAAGTGCGATGACGCGACGCGTCATTGCACTTTCATTATCATCACCATTACGAACTTCATCATATTTCACCATTGTATAACTGAATCCAACCGAGAATGCGCATCCTTTTATCAGTGTCGTCGTCCTCGTCTTCGTGTCGTCCTCCTCCTACTCCTACCACTATCACCGCCACGGTCATTTTGCTGCTTGGTGCGCTTCATACTGCTTGCACAGCATTGCACAGCCACTACAACAACGAGGACGAGAACGACCACTACTACTGCTACTGCTGCTGGTACTACTACTACAACTGCTAACTACTACGATTACGACCACTACCACCGCCATCACCACTACTGCTAGCTAGACCTACGACTTCGACTCCGACGAGGACACTGAGGAGGGCGACGATGTGGACCAGGACAGCTACTACTAGTAGTACTTTGTGTATTTCCGACCAGTACTTCCAAACAGAGCAAAGAGACGAAGCTCGTTTTTCCAAAGATGCAGTCAAAGAGCAGGGTGGTCTTGAAATCTGCAACTTCGTCCTCGTGGTCCTCCAGTACACAAAGTTAAAGCTTGGGGTTGAGGGTCCTCTGCTAACCTTTGAGCGAATGCACCAAGCCGCTTGGCTTGAAGTTTTCGCAGTCTTTTGGAACAGCCAGCCGTTCGGCCCAGGAGGTTCCAAGAGCTTTGAGGCGTGCCTTTGAGGCGTCCCTTGGGGCTTCCAGCTTGGACTCAGTCTGGTGTAAACTTTGTGCTTAAAAAAATAAACCGCATCGCAAGCCAAACCCCCTAACTGCTGTCCCCGGTCATCTGCCTTGGCTGCCTTCTCGAGCTCCTTGTTTGCAGCGTCGATCTTGCCTTTGGCTGCAATGCTAAAAATGTTCTTGGCTCTTTGTTCTTCTCGGTCTTATGGTTGTTGAACGCAGTCGAGTTCTTCTACACTATGCAGCCTCTTGCACAAGCTTCAACATGCAGTGCCGGCAATGTCTTCTAAGAACAGCCACTCGATCCCCAGAACTGCATACCCTACAAGTTTCGAGCCCCAACATCCTGAGAAAGATCACCGAAGCCCGAAAGCCTGTCAAGAGTCGGTGTAAACACCATGTATGAGGTACGTGCACTTTCACGTTGCTTGCTTTCGTGTGAGCTGGTTGAGAACCAAAGCGGCTGCTGCTGCTGCTGCTGCTGCTGCTAGTAATCCTGCTGTCACCACTGCTCCTTCTCCCAGTAGTACTAGTACTACTACTCCTACTCCTACTGCTACCGCTGCCGCTGCTACGCTACTGCTACGACTACGGCTACCACAACTACTGCGAGGACGTCAACTGGGATAAATGCGTTTCAGCTGTGACGCTCTGCGGCCACTGCCACCTATGTTACTCACGCTTGCTGGGAAGACGTAATGGTGTCTGGCCCTCTTCATGGAACATGTGCCGACCAAGCAGAAGAATCAGAATGTCCAGTGACGCACAAGCGAAGGACCGTGAAACAGTGAACAAACAACAAGCAATTGGGAGGTGTTTGTGGTGGCAGCACCATCAGCAGCCAGTGCTGCAGTCTTTGTTTGTGTTGTCCGTCTCACCCGCTCCATCCCACTGCATTACTGCAATTGCTGACTTCCGACCACGACGACGATGTCTACGACTACGACATCAACCGTCAACCACTACCGCCAACACCAACACCAGCACCAGCAACACTATTTTTGCACTTATCAATGACCGGGCGAGCTGCCTTTTGCAACAGAGACGGCAGCAGCGGTGGTTTTCAGCTTGTCGGCGAGCATATCCAGCTTTGCGTTGTGCTGGCCCTGCGTGTGGGACTGACTCAGAAGAGCAGCCCCTGAATGTCAAGATCTCATCTCGTGCGGCAGCGACATCACTGCTGCTGCTCGCGACTGCACCCCTACTACGACAACGACGAGACTGCAACTGCGTTTAACTTGAGGACTGCACGTTGTCAAGACGGACTGGAGCCGCAGGGAGAGGAGTTTGACGTTACCTCATAAAGATGCTTGGACTCTTGGGAAGCCGTTCTAAGCCCTCCTACTCTTGACAGTGTCACAGAATCTACCAGCAAAGCTGCCAGTCTTCACGGTTGCCCAGAAACTGTAGGCTCTCGTGCACAATTGTCAAACCACGTGGACATCATAACAATTTGTAAAACAGAACCAGACATCCCTTTCTCAAGGCCCATGTTGGACATGATCCTAAGCCACGGCAAACACCAAAGTCCTTGAGATCCTTCATCTTCTCCGTCTTAACCTGGCAAACACGAGCATTCTGAGTTGACGAGCAGACACACACACACAGGATCTGTGGCTTCGTATAACCTTAACCTGGCCATAAGCTTCCACATATAGCAGGCAGAGATTGCACGGATTTCGTAACCCATGAACTTCATCCACCAGCAATCATCTTGCAAACAACAGTGGCGACGCTGCAAGGTTTCAACGTTTTCTGTGCCTGTATTTAGCAGGGAGTGAGCTGGTTTGGCAACGCAATTCCTGTACAAAGAACTTGTGCGGGAGGTTCGCTCGCCTTCGGCGCTCGGCCTCTCAGCACATGATGAGCGTTGCTTGGCCGGAGATGGGCCAGACAATTTTTGACATAAAAGATCACGCACGCAGGCTGAAGACCCAGAAGCCACTTCCCTATTAAGCCCTAGCCCTAAATCCCGACCCACAGGGTCGTGCCAACCGTGCTGGATCAGGTTTGCCAGGAAGGGCCTTCAAAGAAGGGCTTCGCTGACGAGTCCCGAAGAACCAACACTTATTGAATTTTGCAAGAGGTCCGGCTGCGTGGCCGCTAATTGATTCTACAACACCTCGCACATCCTTGCTTTCCTAAGCGGCCTCTTTCACGTCCAAGTTCACGATGTCCGGCTTCGACATCGCGGCATCCTCCTCCTCATCCTCACCTGGAAGGCCGTCCAGCTGCTTCAGTTCATCCTCGGTGAACATGAACCTCATGGCCTTGCGGATGATGGCCAGAGAGGCCATGAAGAAAGGGAACACCACGGATGTTTCCTTAATAGCTTTCAACCCATACAGAATTCTAAGACAGATGACCTGGACGACGGTATACAGGTGCACTCGACTGATGGGCAGCTTCTGGATGTAGTGGTACTGCGGGTACTTGGCCGGGTCCCAGATGAGCCACAACTTCAGCCGGTCGAAGAGGTTGTTGCCGGTCAGGCTCGCGATTCCCATGTAGAAAAACACGCCCTGCAGCACGGCCCGTGGCAGGAACTTCAGCACTGGTGCCAGGAAGAGTGCTGAGCCTATAAGCACGTGAATCCTGAATTGCTGAATTCAAAAGCACAGCAAACGTAAATTTCAATTTTTTCAGGAATTTTTTACTATCAAAAAGTGTAACGTGTACTCATTCAGCCACGAAGAATCAAGAAATTGGTAGCACGCTGCTCCACCACCTTCGTAGGCACCTTGCGTTCACCTTCCGGAAGTTGCTTCACTTCGTAGGTGGTCAACGAGATCACGTGGGTGATGCTCGGCACCGTGGAGGCCACGGACAAAGGTAGGCCCAGCACAGCGCACACAGGCAGCGTGAGTGCTCCGCGAACAAACCTTGGTCCGTCTCAATGAGGAACGAAAAGGGGATCCTTTTTGTGGGCTCCCTGTTTACAAGTTTTACAACACTAGGAAACCCCAAGCCCAAAAAAGTCAAAAGGATTCCTAATGTATCCGATGTTGCAAGTCAAGGTGATAAGCAGCCGGCTTTTTCAGATTGTTGGAGGGCCTGTTCACGATCACAGAGGTGAGATTTTGATCGAGGTAACCCAAGACTGCGAAGCCAATCGCCTCGGTTGTGCTTGAGGTGACACTAATTACTGACATGTTCGCCAAGGGCCCTAGAGCCCCAAACTACAAGAGACCAAAAACATCTCCTCCAATCAAGTCGCCGGGAGGATTGCATAAGCAATACCCCAAGCTGGGAAGGGGCGGTCCATGCCGGCGGGATTAATGATCCACGGCCGCTTGCTGCCATCGGACAAGCTCAAATTCGGCGAGAAGTCTGCATCCACCTGCAACATTCTCAGGCCTGTGTCGTTGGAGTAAATGGCGGCCAATGCGGAGCCACTAACCAAAGCGATGGTCACTGCGAAATTGGCCGCAAAGTTGCGAACAAAACGGAAGGTCCAAGGGCTTCGGCGGAAGCTGGACAAGTATGTCGCTAAGCCAAATGTCCAGATGAACAAGAGAGCTTCAAACATGCAGTTCGTCAGCGTCAGCCTGCTTTCCGTGAAATTCTCGATGATCGGCCGGGCTCCATCGATGATAAAGATGAGCGAAATCAATCCTAGGCTTTTGGAAAAAACAACAAGAAAAGTTAAAAGCATATCGGCTTCTCAGGTTGCCTGCATTATAATCAGAACCCACAAACAATCAACGCTAAACATATATAATATCGCTGAACAGCATCCAGCGAAAATGTCTTCGCTGAACATAGTGACGTGCTTCATGAGAGCACACAAGTCGAAGACCGCAACTAGGACGGTGAAGAGGGAGCACGACATGCATGTCCAGAAATAAAATGGCATGAACTCCACGTCCACGTCATTCATTCATTCATTCATTCATTCATTCATTCATTCATGTTGATGAGGGTGTGCGCAACCGAGCACGGGTTATCACCCACCCCTGAGAAAAACCATAACGAGAAGAGCCGACCCACAGAAGGAGTCGTCTAGCACATGCGGCCGAAGCATCACGCAAGGAAGCGTACCTGAGGAAGCGTACCTGACAGGAAAAACTGGTCGTCCAGGTGACGACCTCCATTCACATGTCGAGAATTCGAGAACATTAGCTGAGATTACCATCACCATCCATACTGGCGACGAAACGATGCATAGGCTTCGAACTGAGTGCCAGACAGAGGCCGCATCGATCGGAACTAAAACCCTACGGGAACAGAGGACTAAACCTCAGGGGCCTATGAAGGGGAACTAACGGCGTGGGCCAGCAGAGCACGCATCTACGTTGCATACAAGGAACCCAACGGGAGAGAGACCTAAACCCAAGGGGCTTAGGGATGGGCAAAGGCGGAAAAACAAGCAAGTGAGGTCGTGAGTGCCCTTCAAGCAGCGGGGCACTTGCGCTGCAGGAAGTCCCCAAGATCAGAGAGGGGTCTCGCTCGCTCGCACCACTGGCATCGCACCTTGAGGGTCTTGACCCGATCAGAATAGATTTAGACGACAAGCGTGTAGGCCAAGAACGGACCGGTAGCTCCCAAAATCGAAAGTGGCTGACCGGAAGTGAACATTTTGGAAAAAGCAACAGGGTGACGGGCCGGAAAGCTCGCCCTAGAAGCTCAGCGGGGCCTGAAAAAAACTAAGACACAGTCAGCTGCGGACGCACTGCTGTGGCAATGGAAGCCACTGCGCGCAAAGTTCTGATTTCCCATTGATAGGCCTGCCCAGCCTGAAGATGCCAAGCAGCCCTGCGAGAGCCTCTTGAGAGCATGCGCACGCGGGCGTTTGCAGATTCGTCAGCTTTCTGATTCCACTCACGCAGAGAGGATTCGCTAATCGAAGCTTGGGGCTTCCAACCAGCGACCTGCTTGCCATGCGACGGGACCCATACGAAGTCAAGTGCCGCGGCAATGGCCCGCAGACTACGAATGACATGACCAATTCTAACAGAAAGCAACGGGGTCGAACCTCTACGCCCGTCACAAATCTCCAAGGC